TACACTTACAGTAAGGGGTCAGGTCAGATACATCTGTACACTTACAGGAAGGGGTCAGGTCAGATACATCTGTATACTTACAGGAAGGGGTCAGGTCAGATACATCTGTACACTTACAGGAAGGGGTCAGGTCAGATACATCTGTATACTTACAAGAAGGGGTCAGGTCCAATACATCTGTATACTTACAGGAAGGGGTCAGGTCAGATACATCTGTATACTTACAGAAAGGGGTCAGGTCAGATATATCTGTATACTTACAGGAAGGGGTCAGGTCCAATACATCTGTATACTTACAGAAAGGGGTCAGGTCATAAACATCTATGTACTTACAGGAAGGGGTCAGGTCAGAAACATCTATGTACTTACAGGAAGGGGTCAGGTCAGATACATCTGTATACTTACAGGAAGGGGTCAGGTCAGATATATCTGTATACTTACAGGAAGGGGTCAGGTCAGATATATCTGTATACTTACAGAAAGGGGTCAGGTCATAAACATCTATGTACTTACAGGAAGGGGTCAGGTCAGATACATCTATGTACTTACAGGAAGGGGTCAGGTCCAATACATTTGTACACTTACAGGAAGGGGTCAGGTCAGATACATCTGTATACTTACAGGAAGGGGTCAGGTCAGATACATCTGTACACTTACAGGAAGGGGTCAGGTCAGATACATCTGTACACTTACAGGAAGGGGTCAGGTCAGATACATCTGTATACTTACAGGAAGGGGTCAGGTCAGATACATCTGTACACTTACAGGAAGGGGTCAGGTCAGATACATCTATGTACTTACAGGAAGGGGTCAGGTCAGATACATCTGTATACTTACAGGAAGGGGTCAGGTCAGATATATCTGTATACTTACAGGAAGGGGTCAGGTCAGATATATCTGTACACTTACAGGAAGGGGTCAGGTCAGATACATCTGTATACTTCCAGGAAGGGGTCAGGTCAGATACATCTGTATACTTCCAGGAAGGGGTCAGGTCAGATACATCTGTATACTTACAGGAAGGGGTCAGGTCAGATACATCTGTATACTTACAGGAAGGGGTCAGGTCAGATATATCTGTATACTTACAGGAAGGGGTCAGGTCAGATACATCTGTATACTTACAGGAAGGGGTCAGGTCAGATACATCTGTATACTTACAGGAAGGGGTCAGGTCAGATATATCTGTATACTTACAGGAAGGGGTCAGGTCAGATACATCTATGTACTTACAGGAAGGGGTCAGGTCAGATACATCTGTACACTTACATGAAGGGGTCAGGTCAGATACATCTATGTACTTACATGAAGGGGTCAGGTCAGATACATCTATGTACTTACAGGAAGGGGTCAGGTCAGATACATCTATGTACTTACAGGAAGGGGTCAGGTCAGATACATCTATGTACTTACAGGAAGGGGTCAGGTCAGATACATCTGTACACTTACAGGAAGGGGTCAGGTCAGATACATCTATGTACTTACATGAAGGGGTCAGGTCAGATACATCTATGTACTTACAGGAAGGGGTCAGGTCAGATACATCTATGTACTTACAGGAAGGGGTCAGGTCAGATACATCTATGTACTTACAGGAAGGGGTCAGGTCAGATACATCTATTTACTTATAGGAAGGGGTCAGGTCCAATACATCTGTATACTTACAGGAAGGGGTCAGGTCAGATACATCTGTATACTTACAGGAAGGGGTCAGGTCAGATACATCTATGTACTTACATGAAGGGGCCAGGTCAGATACATCTATGTACTTACAGGAAGGGGTCAGGTCAGATACATCTATGTACTTACAGGAAGGGGTCAGGTCAGATACATCTATGTACTTATAGGAAGGGGTCAGGTCCAATACATCTGTATACTTACAGGAAGGGGTCAGGTCAGATTCATCTGTATACTTACAGGAAGGGGTCAGGTCAGATATATCTGTATACTTACAGGAAGGGGTCAGGTCAGATACATCTATACACTTACAAGAAGGGGTCAGGTCCAATACATCTGTACACTTACAGGAAGGGGTCAGGTCAGATACATCTGTATACTTACAGGAAGGGGTCAGGTCAGATACATCTGTATACTTACAGGAAGGGGTCAGGTCATAAACATCTATGTACTTACAGGAAGGGGTCAGGTCAGATACATCTATGTACTTACAGGAAGGGGTCAGGTCAGATACATCTGTATACTTACAGGAAGGGGTCAGGTCAGATATATCTGTACACTTACAGGAAGGGGTCAGGTCAGATATATCTGTATACTTACAGGAAGGGGTCAGGTCAGATACATCTGTATACTTACAGGAAGGGGTCAGGTCAGATACATCTGTATACTTACAGAAAGGGGTCAGGTCAGATACATCTATGTACTTACATGAAGGGGTCAGGTCAGATACATCTGTACACTTACAGGAAGGGGTCAGGTCCAATACATCTGTATACTTACAGGAAGGGGTCAGGTCAGATACATCTGTACACTTACAGGAAGTGGTCAGGTCAGATACATCTATGTACTTACATGAAGGGGTCAGGTCAGATACATCTATGTACTTACAGGAAGGGGTCAGGTCAGATACATCTATGTACTTACAAGAAGGGGTCAGGTCCAATACATCTGTACACTTACAGGAAGGGGTCAGGTCAGATACATCTGTATACTTACAGGAAGGGGTCAGGTCAGATACATCTATGTACTTACATGAAGGGGTCAGGTCAGATACATCTATGTACTTACATGAAGGGGCAAGGTCAGATACATCTATGTACTTACAGGAAGGGGTCAGGTCAGATACATCTATGTACTTACAGGAAGGGGTCAGGTCAGATACATCTATGTACTTATAGGAAGGGGTCAGGTCCAATACATCTGTATACTTACAGGAAGGGGTCAGGTCAGATTCATCTGTATACTTACAGGAAGGGGTCAGGTCAGATATATCTGTATACTTACAGGAAGGGGTCAGGTCAGATACATATGTACACTTACAAGAAGGGGTCAGGTCCAATACATCTGTACACTTACAGGAAGGGGTCAGGTCAGATACATCTGTATACTTACAGGAAGGGGTCAGGTCAGATACATCTGTATACTTACAGGAAGGGGTCAGGTCATAAACATCTATGTACACTTACAGGAAGGGGTCAGGTCAGATACATCTATGTACTTACAGGAAGGGGTCAGGTCAGATACATCTGTATACTTACAGGAAGGGGTCAGGTCAGATATATCTGTACACTTACAGGAAGGGGTCAGGTCAGATATATCTGTATACTTACAGGAAGGGGTCAGGTCAGATACATCGGTATACTTACAGGAAGGGGTCAGGTCAGATACATCTGTATACTTACAGAAAGGGGTCAGGTCAGATACATCTATGTACTTACATGAAGGGGTCAGGTCAGATACATCTGTACACTTACAGGAAGGGGTCAGGTCCAATACATCTGTATACTTACAGGAAGGGGTCAGGTCAGATACATCTGTACACTTACAGAAAGGGGTCAGGTCAGATACATCTATGTACTTACATGAAGGGGTCAGGTCAGATACATCTATGTACTTACAGGAAGGGGTCAGGTCAGATACATCTATGTACTTACAAGAAGGGGTCAGGTCCAATACATCTGTACACTTACAGGAAGGGGTCAGGTCAGATACATCTGTATACTTACAGGAAGGGGTCAGGTCAGATACATCTGTATATTTACAGGAAGGGGTCAGGTCAGATACATCTGTATACTTACAGGAAGGGGTCAGGTCAGATACATCTATGTACTTATAGGAAGGGGTCAGGTCAGATACATCTGTACACTTACAGGAAGGGGTCAGGTCAGATACATCTATGTACTTACAGGAAGGGGTCAGGTCAGATACATCTGTATACTTACAGGAAGGGGTCAGGTCAGATATATCTATGTACTTACAGGAAGGGGTCAGGTCAGATATATCTGTATACTTACAGGAAGGGGTCAGGTCAGATATATCTGTATACTTACAGGAAGGGGTCAGGTCAGATACATCTGTATACTTACAGGAAGGGGTCAGGTCAGATACATCTGTACACTTACAGGAAGGGGTCAGGTCAGATACATCTGTACACTTACAGGAAGGGGTCAGGTCAGATACATCTATTTACTTACATGAAGGGGTCAGGTCAGATACATCTATGTACTTACAGGAAGGGGTCAGGTCAGATACCTCTATGTACATACAGGAAGGGGTCAGGTCAGATACATCTATGTTCTTACATGAAGGGGTCAGGTCAGATACATCTATGTACTTACAGGAAGGGGTCAGGTCAGATACATCTATGTACTTTCAGGAAGGGGTCAGTTCCAATACATTTGTACACTTACAGGAAGGGGTCAGGTCAGATACATCTGTATACTTACAGGAAGGGGTCAGGTCAGATACATCTGTACACTTACAGGAAGGGGTCAGGTCAGATACATCTGTACACTTACAGGAAGGGGTCAGGTCAGATACATCTGTATACTTACAGGAAGGGGTCAGGTCAGATACATCTGTACACTTACAGGAAGGGGTCAGGTCAGATACATCTATGTACTTACAGGAAGGGGTCAGGTCAGATACATCTGTACACTTACAGGAAGGGGTCAGGTCAGATACATCTGTATACTTACAGGAAGGGGTCAGGTCAGATACATCTGTATACTTACAGGAAGGGGTCAGGTCAGATACATCTGTATACTTACAGGAAGGGGTCAGGTCAGATTCATCTGTATACTTACAGAAAGGGGTCAGGTCAGATATATCTGTATACTTACAACTTACAGGAAGGGGTCAGGTCAAATACATCTATGTACTTACAGGAAGGGGTCAGGTCAGTTATATCAGTCAGTACAGAAGCACACACCCTTTAGACATTATGTGCCAGTACAAATACAGCTCAATAGTTTCTGTGTTTGATCTTTGTCAACACCTTATGTGAAGACACCTGCTGATATGTCTACCTGTATAAACTGTAGACGCAGAATGGTGTCGGGATCTGCTTTGACCAAACGGGACCCACCACCTGTGGATGAGAAAATGACTCTCTTCCATCGGGAACTGACTGAGACATGCACTGATGTCATGGCCAGATATGCTTTTGCCAACTTTTCAGCAGTACCACACAGGTGAGTAAATCTTAGTAGTGGCAGTACTACATTGGTGAGACTACATATATATGCAAGAACATCTTAGTAGTGGCAGTACTACATTGGTGAGACTACATATATATGCAAGAACATCTTAGAAGTGGCAGTACTACATTGGTGAGACTACATATATGGGTCATTCTCAAAAAAAGTGAGTTTTTTAGTCCGAGTTGAATAACAATTAAAATATTTATTTTAGATATGTTTAAACACAAGTGTTTTTCGTAGAACATACCATGGTGTCTGAAAGTTAAGTTTCAGTATTTCTTATTAGGTATTTTATTTTAATTAAAACTGCTTAATTGCGGTTAAATTGAGCTGAAGGGTGTGTCCGTAACCCTATGTTTGCACATCAACATTGTTTAATGTGGCTAAAAATAAAAAATATTATGTAAATAATGTTTATATATTGTACATTACCTTTCTAACTCATGATATAAACTTATCTTTTGAAGATACACTCTTTTATTTATATTGGTTTTTGGTAAGAAACACTTGTACATAAAAAAGTGTCTGTCCTGTTACCAGGATGGATCAAAACTGAAAAATAAATAATCCTTCAAGATTCCCATAATTCAAAATAACAGAAATACAGCTTACTTCCTGTACTATCATGGCAGCAGTGTCCTTCAAGTGAGAGAAGACTTTGGATAATTCTGCTTGACAGGGAAGTTTAGTGCTATCATGAATACTCTTTTCTTATGTCTGTGCTGTTACTGCTCATTTTTGCCAAAACAAATATTTTTTTCTAAAACCATTTTTTCAGAATATTAGAAAATATGAACTGTTCACAATGCCATGTGGTCTCAACATTTCAAGGGAGGTCTCATTAAAAAAAACTGTTATTAATGTCAATTTGTCTATGCTGTTACTGTCTGTGCTGTTACCTTCAAACATGTAAACAGGACAGACATTCCGTGGTAACAGCACAGACTTATCATCATCTTAAACTGTCTTTCCTTGTTTAACCAATCAATAATATAATTACCATAATAACTCAAATAATTCCTTTTGAAATAACACAGACATTCAAGAGGCTATGGTTGTACAAATCTTCCAAGCTGAATAAAAACAAGTTGCTCAAGACTTAAAAGTAACAGCAGAGACAAATATTGGTAACAGCACAGACATTTGGTCAGCTTTATCTAACTATTCTTGTCCAATCACTCAATATTTAAATTTTATGAAACATTAAGACATATGTTTTCAAATTTATCACAGTTTAGAAGAAAACATATACATAAAAAATAGACTACTTTGTTGAAGATAGTTATCTGATGAAAAAGTAACAGCACAGACATTCCGTGGTAACAGCACAGACTTATCATCACCTTAAACTGTCTTTCCTAGTATAACCAATCAATAATATAATTACCATATTAACACAAATAATTCTTTTGTAATAACACAGGCATTCAAGAGGCTATGGCTGAACAAATCTTCCAAGCTAAATAAAAAAAATTGGTTAAGACTTAAAAGTAACAGCACAGACATTTGGTCATCTTTATCTAACGTTTCTTATCCAATCACTAAATATTCTAATTTTATGAAACATTAAGAGATATGTTTTCAAATTTATCACAGTTTAGAAGAAAACATATATACATAAAAAAATAGACTACTTTGTTGAAGATAGTTATCTGATGAAAAAACAACAGAAGGGTGGAGAAGACAGGTGGTGTGGTGGAAAAGGGTGAGGTTGTGAAAAGTGTGGAGAGGACAGATGGTGTGTTGGAGAAGGGTGAGGTTGAGAAAAAGGTGGAGAGGACAGGTGGTGTGGTGGAGAAGGGTGAGGTTGAGAAAAAGGTGGAGAGGACAGGTGGTGTGGTGGAGAAGGGTGAGGTTGAGAAAAAGGTGGAGAGGACAGGTGGTGTGGTGGAGAAGGGTGAGGTTGAGAAAAAGGTGGAGAGGACAGGTGGTGTGGTGGAGAAGGGTGAGGTTGAGAAAAAGGTGGAGAGGACAGGTGGTGTGGTGAAGAAGGGTGAGGTTGAGAAAAAGGTGGAGAGGACAGGTGGTGTGGTGGAGAAGGGTGAGGTTGAGAAAAGTGAGAGTGACATTTTACTATCCGTTCCAGATGATACAGAAGAGTGTCTTGGAAAATGTGTGGTTGTGTTATATGATGGTTTTCCATATCCTGGATACATAGATGTTTCTACCTATGATATATATGTCGAATGCATGCACAAGCCTGGCAAAAAATGAGATCAAAAATGATTCTTTTGGCCAAGACTCCTGCTGGACAAATGCTGGTACAAGCACGAGGACATTATTACCATCATTCCTGAACGAAAGAAGATTGAAGGCACTGCTTCCCACTTCAGTGTTGAAAACATTTACTGGGAAGCTATTACAGATATGATAAAACAGAAACAATAAACAACCTGTGGTTTCTGGGTGAATGAAAGGCACCATTTAATTCTGGCACTAATCAAATAAACATAGATACAAATGAATTTTACCTTTAAGTAAACTATAATTCACCTTTTCAGACCGTTTATTTGAGTATTTGCGAATACAATTGCAAAAGAATACAGCTTCAACAGGAAATCTTCTGACAAGTTTTTTTTCTCCAGATTATGTTGATGTTTGACATGGATAAAGTTGGTTATTGTGTTGTTGCTTCATGACAAAAACTGTCACATGACTATTTAGTGTAAGTTTAAATCAATTTAAATTCTTTGTAATTCTAGGGATTAACCCAAAATGCAAAAGTTATTGTCTTTGGCGTTACTTCCGTCTGTGCTGTTACCTACCAGTATCCTACATTCACATTACATAGAAGAACATTCAGTTAATAACATCCATATGATCAGATACTGTTAATTAAGCAAAACATTTTCTTATTTGTCAGAGTTCAAAACTTTGAACTTCTGAACAGGATAGTTGACTGCAAACATAAGTTTGTCCGTCCTGTTACTTTCAATTGTCCGTCCTGTTACCGACCGTTTTCTATAGTTCAGATTACATACAAGAATATTCAGTTAATTACACCTTATATGTTCAGGTGTAATCAATTGCACATACTTTTTTCGTATTTGTCAGATATTTCAAAATCTTGAAACTCCTGAACGTTATAGTTATCTGCAATCAAAGCCGATTGTCCGTCCTGTTACTTTCAATTGTCCGTCCTGTTACTACGTTGTCTGTCCTGTTACCAGCACTTAAAATAGAAATATACTGATTATTTATTTTTATTTTTCAGAAGAACATATTTGAATTCAAACATATATCATCTAATGAAGCATATGTGTAATATATGATGCAATAATCAGGGTATGTTTGTCATATTGGATTTGAATGAATTCAAATGTTTTCATTTGACTCAAATGCTGGACAAATCTGTCCATAAAATAATGTATCCAATCTCTTTTTAATTGTACTCATTGAAATATTAAACAATACATTTAAAAACAAGAACTGACATGATTTGTGTTGAACTTTGAAAAATATTGTTACAGAAAATATAATTGTTAACATGGTAACAGGACAGACATATTTTTCCTATTCAGTGTTAATTAATTATCATAATTAGGACATCATTGATTATTAAGGTGTCATTTTGCTTAACATTATTATTCAGAAGTTACTTTGTGTACTGAGTCTATAAAAAAGGAATTTTACAAAAGACAATTTTGATGTTTTTGCTTAGTTGAAATTCTGACATTTTTTGAGAATGACCCATATATGCAAGAACATCTTAGTAGTGGCAGTAGTACATTGGTGAGACTACATATATATGCAAGAACATCTTAGTAGTGGCAGTACTACATTGGTGAGACTACATATATATGCAAGAACATCTTAGTAGTGGCAGTACTACATTGGTGAGACTACATATATATGCAAGAACATCTTAGTAGTGGCAGTACTACATTGGTGAGACTACATATATATGCAAGAACATCTTAGAAGTGGCAGTACTACATTGGTGAGACTACATATATATGCAAGAACATCTTAGTAGTGGCAGTACTACATTGGTGAGACTACATATATATGCAAGAACAACTTGGTATTGGCAGTACTACATTGGTGAGACTACATATATATGCAAGAACATCTTGGTAGTGGCAGTACTACATTGGTGTGAGACTACATATATATGCAAGAACATCTTGGTAGTGGCAGTACTACATTGGTGAGACTACATATATATGCAAGAACATCTTAGAAGTGGCAGTACTACATTGGTGAGACTACATATATATGCAAGAACATCTTAGTAGTGGCAGTACTACATTGGTGGGACTACATATATATGCAAGAACATCTTGGTAGTGGCAGTACTACATTGGTGAGACTACATATATATGCAAGAACATCTTAGTAGTGGCAGTACTACATTGGTGTGAGACTACATATATATGCAAGAACATCTTAGTAGTGGCAGTACTACATTGGTGAGACTACATATATATGCAAGAACATCTTAGAAGTGGCAGTACTACATTGGTGAGACTACATATATATGCAAGAACATCTTAGTAGTGGCAGTACTACATTGGTGAGACTACATATATATGCAAGAACATCTTAGTAGTGGCAGTACTACATTGGTGTGAGACTACATATATATGCAAGAACATCTTAGTAGTGGCAGTACTACATTGGTGAGACTACATATATATGCAAGAACATCTTAGTAGTGGCATTACTACACAGGTGAGACTACATGTTGACTACAAATTCTTGGGAATCAGATTCTGCATGAGGAAATACCTGATTGAGGTACCAGAAGACCGGGAGACATAAAGTCAAAGCTATCTACAGATCATTATTCACAAACAGATTTCAATCTATCAGTGGCAAGTAGTCCAAGGCCTACTTACCTCTGCTCAAGCCCTAACTATAAGCATCAGACTGCAGTTTCATCTCTTTCAGAGATTTCTGAGACCATTCCTAGACCATACAGACCGACTACCACAATGACTGAAGAAATATCTTCAGTCAAATCAGATGTTTGAGTAGGGACCTGTTTGAATGAGCCGGCTTACCACCAGCATCTATGCGTCGACGCATCCCTACAAGTAACCTCAGGGATATGGTCCCCACAAGAAAAACTTCTCCATATAAATTATCTGGAGTTAGAAGCCATCATTAGAGCGATAACACATGGGCCCCACAACCCAAACACACTTCTTCATGATAAGAACAGACAACTCAACTCTGGACTTTAAATCAATCTCCAAGGAACAACCAGATCAGCAACCCTTCTGAGATTAAAATTTCAACTGTTCAAACTAACAGACAGTCTCACTCTACGCATAAAAGCAAGTTACATCCCAGGTGTGCTAAATGTCCTAGCAGATGCTCTATCCAGGCCATCCAAACCATTCCCAACGGAATGGATGCTCCATCTGGAGGCACTCCAGCTGATGACAAGGGAAAAAGGTTGCCCATCAACAGACTTATTTGCAACAAGGTTCAAAAAAAAAAAAAAAGACGTTCATCTTACCATTCACAGACCAACTGGCTTGGGCCACCAACGCCAACAACCTATTTCTGCTTTTAGGTCGAACCTTACTGGCCGGCAAAGATTGGTTCCCAGAGCATATTGCGCTAACAGCGAAACAAACAGTAAAACTCCCAAGCTGGACAAACCTTCTTACAGCATCCTCACGCCATGCAAGTTCATCAAAAGCAATATGCTTACGAACTGCATGCATGGACATGACACGTTCAACCTTACTAGAAGGTGATATTCAGATAGAGCAGCCAAGGCAGTCTCCATAGCAGATCTATGAGGAATTTGTACAATGACCAATTTGCAACCTTAAAAGGGTTTACGGCAGCCAAGGCTACCTTACCACTAGTAGCAAAATTCCTGTGCCTCCTACGTAGTACGAGGAATCTCAAAGGTTCAACATTAACTACCTACCTTGCAGCGATAAGTTCTGTGCTACACCATGCATATCGGAATCAAGCTCACCAAAGTTCCAGAATTACGAGCCTTGCTACAATCATACAGGCTTAATCTAACCGTGGTACTTAATCACCCCACTTGTGGATGTATAAACCCTTTTAACAAGCTGACTTTGAAGTCTAATGCAGAAGACATTATTTGTACTATCTACAGCATCTAGAATCGATTCATGCAAACGATTTCTCATGTACTTGATTTGACAGCGGTGAGATTATATATCTTCTCATCTCAGCACGAGATGGGATTTTATCGCCAAGAATAAACATCCTGGTCAGACAGACCGTAGACAGTTTCATATTTGGCCACTTTCGTCAATCCTAGGATCCAAGGACACCGAAGATTTATCCTGATGTTCAGTTTAAGCCTTACGCATCCACCTAAACAGATCAAGCTACAGACGACAGTAATTAAGAAGGTTGTTCATACCATTATCTAGGAATAAAATACCACAAAAGTATCCAGAACACCATTTCTTTCTGGATAAGAGCAGTAATCCTTAGAGCCTACAGAGGGACAGGCCAGCCCACCGCACTCAGCCTCCAACCCACATGAAGTCAGAGCCATAGTGCCTACTACTTTCACAAGAAGGAGGTGGTACCCTGTTTTGATATACGGAAGTAATTAAGAATAATATCACATTCCCAGAGGTTAATGAATAGATCTCGATCTGAACCACAAACAGGTGGAACCCACCACCAACCGTGTCATTCAAGCAATAAGTATGAGTCCCTCACTTATCCCTGACTCATACACTAAAGCACCCACCCAGTCGTTAAGTATGGGAAATGAGAGAGTGAAAAGTCCAGGGGTGTGTTCAGGTGAGATGTTTTCTCTGTTCTCCAGGAACACAGTTCAGGTAGTTTCCACTACCTTTTGGAAATGAGTAGTGATAAGCAATAAGTATGAGTCAGGTAAAGTATAAATATTAATTTTACCTTAAAAAATACATTTTCATATACATTTATATTTTCTTTACCCATCATCTGTCCCAGATGAGTATGTTTTAAATGCATCTGTTTCTGTTTAAGAATATTAATGTATAAGGTGTTATGTGACTATATTATAATGTTTTTCTCACAAGGTCTCAGCTGGTACAGTTTTTACTCTCTGGAACACAGAATCAGACATGGCTGCTTGGCAACAAAATCATCACCATAACAACAAGTGGGAGTGGTGTTAAGGCAGCTAATGCCGGTGTTTGTGAGAAATGCATCCTGTTATATCATGAAGCACAAGAAGGAAGACAGCCGCCAGTTTCTGCAAAGAGAGAGCGCCGCAGGCACAAGTCTGCTGCCTGTCTGAGTCGCAGTCAGAGTCAGGTGGAGCCCACCTCCTCCCCTAGTGCTGATGATATTGGTGTGCAGCAAACCAAGTGGTCACACGACGACCTCAGTGTCACCCGGGGCAGTGACGATGTAGGAGTCCAAACTGGCAGCTCACTGTCAGGGGATTCTCTTGACTCGTACCTCTTTGGTGAGTTGAGGAGGCATACAAGATCACTAAAATTTAATTTATTTGTGTTATTAAGTAGCAGCGAGGTTGTTGCAGCTAATATGGTCCAGCTGTAAACACTATTTGGGCAACACTGGAGTCAAATTATAGCTGATCAAAATGCTTGATAAGATCACCTGAGAAGGGTACACGTTTTTGACAGAAGTGAATATTTGATACAGAAATGATTGTAAACAGATGAGCCTTTTTTTTTAAGTAAAGTTAAGAAACACAAAAGTGTATACTTTCAATACCTAACCAAACTTTGACAGCCTTGTACATAACTGAATGCAAAAGTACTTAAGAAGATCCATATACAGTCAAATATCTCTGTGTCGAACTTTGATGTGTTGAACATGCGGTTGTGTCAAAGTAAAAGTTTTCCCCTCGTATTCCTTCTTAATTCATCACTTTCGACTGTGTTGAACCTTGGATAACTCAAAGTATTTCCGTAGGTCCTTTCAACTATAACACAACAGTGTTTGACTGCAACTTGAAAAGTTAATGGGTGTATCTTCCCATGTTGACTCACTTGTTTTCTCAATATAAGCATTGCAAAACTATAATGTACAGGTTCGAAAAGTGAGACGGAAGAGAAGCCCTTCTCCCCTAGCCTGCTTCCCTGTACCTGCTGGTGCATTGGCTGGGCAGAAGTCAACATCCGCGGGCCCAGTGGCAATGTATCGTGGGTCATGAGGATCGAGAATGAGATCAGCTCCAGTGCTGCAAGCCGTGAGGTCTCCTTACAGGACATCACAATGTTGTTTAAACCTATGCGAGAGGAGTGGCACAGCAGCAAAGAGGGAGGCCGAAAAATTGATAGTGAGAGTCTTGGAGAGGAGGAATATGAGTCTCTCTACTCCAAACACTTCTCAGGTGAGTCCCAAACCCTAGAATACGTCTCAAAACAACTCTTCAACCAATCCCACCTTCAAACATTTCTCCAACCAGTCCACTCAATCATAACCACCTGCAACAGTTTCCCAGATGCAAACACTAGAAGTCTTCTCAAACCAGTATCTACACCTCTGTACAGCACCCACACTTCCACACACCTCTGTACAGCACCCACACTTCCACATACCTCTGACCAGCACCCACACTTCCATACACCTCTGACCAGTACCCACACTTCCACACACCTCTGACCAGTAACCACACTTCCACACACCTCTGACCAGTACCCACACTTCCACACACCTCTGACCAGTACCCTCACTTCCAAATATATCTGACCAGTACCCACACTTCCACACACCTCTGACCAGTACCCTCACTTCCAAATACCTCTGACCAGTACCCACACTTCCACACACCTCTGACCAGTACCCACACTTCCACACACCTCTGACCAGTACCCACACTTCCAAATACCTCTGACCAGTACCCACACTTCCACACACCTCTGACCAGTACCCTCACTTCCAAATACATCTGACCAGTACCTACACTTCCACACACCTCTGACCAGCACCCACACTTACACACACCTCTGACCAGCACCCACACTTACACACACCTCTGACCAGTACCCACACTTCCACACACCTCTGACCAGTACCCACACTTCAACACACCTCTGACCAGCACCCACACATCCACACACCTCTGACCAGCACCCACACTTCACTACACCTCTGACCAGTACCCACACTCCCACACACCTCTGACCAGCACCCACATTTCCAAATACCTCTGACCAGTACCCACACTTCCACACACCTCTGACCAGTACCCACACTTTCACACACCTCTGACCAGTACCCACACTTCCACACACTTCTGACCAGCACCCACACTTCCACACACCTCTGACCAGTACCCACACTTTCACACACCTCTGACCAGTACCCACACTTCCACACACCTCTGACCAGTACCCACACTTCCACACACCTGTGACCAGCACCCACACATCCACACACCTCTGACCAGTACCCTCACTTTCAAAAACATCTGACCAGTACCCACACTTCCACACACCTCTGACCAGTACCCGAACTTCCACACACCTGTGACCAGCACCCACACATCCACACACCTCTGACCAGTACCCTCACTTTCAAAAACATCTGACCAGTACCCACACTTCCACACACCTCTGACCAGCACCTCACTTCACTTCACCTCTTACCAGTACCCACACTTCCACACACCTCTGACCAGCACCCTCACTTCCACATACCCCTGACCAGTACCCACACTTCAGCACACCTCTGACCAGTACCTTCACTTCCACACACTTCTGACCAGCACCCACACTTCACTACACCTCTGACCAGTACCCACACTTCCACACACCTCTAACCAGCACCCACACTTCCACACACCTCTGTACAGCACCCACACTTCCACACACCTCTGACCAGTACCCACACTTTCACACACCTCTGACCAGAACCCACACTTCCACACACCTGAGACCAGCACCCACACTTCCACACACCTCTGACCAGCACCCACACCTCCACACACCTCTGTACAGCGCCCACACTTCCACACACCTCTGACCAGCACCCACACTTCCACACACCTCTGACCAGCACCCACACTTCACTACACCTCTGACCAGTACCCACACTTCCACACACCTCTGTACAGCGCCCACACTTCCACACACCTCTGACCAGTACCCACACTTCCAAATACCTCTGACCAGTACCCGCACTTCCACACACCTCTGACCAGTACCCTCACTTCCAAATACATCAGACCAGTACCCACACTTCCACACACCTCTGACCAGTACCCACACTTCCAAATACCTCTGACCAGTACCCGCACTTCCACACACCTCTTACCAGTACCCTCACTTCCAAATACCTCTGACCAGTACCCACACTTCCACACACCTCTGACCAGCACTCACACTTCACTACACCTCTGACCAGTACCCACACTTTCACACACCTCTGACCAGTACCCACACTTCCACACACCTGTGACCAGCACCCACACATCCACACACCTCTGACCAGTACCCTCACTTTCAAAAACATCTGACCAGTACCCACACTTCCACACACCTCTGACCAGTACCCGAACTTCCACACACCTGTGACCAGCACCCACACATCCACACACCTCTGACCAGTACCCTCACTTTCAAAAACATCTGACCAGTACCCACACTTCCACACACCTCTGACCAGCACCTCACTTCACTTCACCTCTTACCAGTACCCACACTTCCACACACCTCTGACCAGCACCCTCACTTCCACATACCCCTGACCAGTACCCACACTTCAGCACACCTCTGACCAGTACCTTCACTTCCACACACTTCTGACCAGCACCCACACTTCACTACACCTCTGACCAGTACCCACACTTCCACACACCTCTAACCAGCACCCACACTTCCACACACCTCTGTACAGCACCCACACTTCCACACACCTCTGACCAGTACCCACACTTTCACACACCTCTGACCAGAACCCACACTTCCACACACCTGAGACCAGCACCCACACTTCCACACACCTCTGACCAGCACCCACACCTCCACACACCTCTGTACAGCGCCCACACTTCCACACACCTGTGACCAGCACCCACACTTCCACACACCTCTGACCAGCACCCACACTTCACTACACCTCTGACCAGTACCCACACTTCCACACACCTCTGTACAGCGCCCACACTTCCACACACCTCTGACCAGTACCCACACTTCCAAATACCTCTGACCAGTACCCGCACTTCCACACACCTCTGACCAGTACCCTCACTTCCAAATACATCAGACCAGTACCCACACTTCCACACACCTCTGACCAGTACCCACACTTCCAAATACCTCTGACCAGTACCCGCACTTCCACACACCTCTTACCAGTACCCTCACTTCCAAATACATCTGACCAGTACCCACACTTCCACACACCTCTGACCAGTACCCTCACTTCCAAATACCTCTGACCAGTACCCACACTTCCACACACCTCTGTACAGCACCCACACTTCCACCCACCTCTGTACAGCACCCACACTTCCACACACCTCTGACCAGCACCCACACTTCCACACACCTCTGACCAGTACCCTCACTTCCAAATACCTCTGACCAGTACCCACTCTTCCACACACCTCTGACCAGTACCCACACTTCCACACACCTCTGACCAGCACCCACACTTCCACACACCTCTGACCAGCACCCACACTTCCACACACCTGTGACCAGCACCCACACTTACACACACCTCTGACCAGCACCCACACTTCCACACACCTCTGACCAGTACCCACACTTCGACATACCTCTGACCAGTACCCACACTTCCACGTACCTCTTACCAGTACCTACACTTCCACACACCTCTGACCACCACCTACACTTACACACACCTCTGACCAGCACCTACACTTTCACACACATCTGACCAGCACCCACACTTCCACACACCTCTGACCAGTACCCACACTTCCACACACCTCTGACCAGTACCCACACTTCCACACACCTCTGACCAGCACCCACACATCCACACACCTCTGACCAGCACCCACACTTCACTACACCTCTGACCAGTACCCACACTTCCACATACCTCTGACCAGCACCCACACCTCCACACACCTCTGTACAGCGCCCACACTTCCACACACCTCTGACCAGTACCCACACTTAACACACCTCTGACCAGTACCCACATTTCCAAATACCTCTGACCAGTACCCACACTTCCACACACCTCTGACCAGTACCCTCACTTCCAAATACCTCTGACCAGTACCCACACTTCCCACACCTCTGACCAGTACCCATACTTCCACACACCTCTGACCAGCACCCACACTTCTACACACCTCTGACCAGCACCCACACTTCCACACACCTCTGTACAGCACCCACACTTCCACACACCTCTGTACAGAACCCACACTTCCACACACCTCTGACCAGCACCCACACTTCACTACACCTCTGACCAGTACCCACACTTCCACACACCTCTGACCAGCACCCACACTTCCACACACCTCTGACCAGTACCAACACTTCCACACACCTCTGACCAGTACCCACACTTCCAAATACCTCTGACCAGTACCCACACTTCCACACACCTCTGACCAGTACCCACACTTCCACACACCTCTGACCAGTACCCGCACTTCCACACACCTCTTACCAGTACCCTCACTTCCAAATACATCTGACCAGTACCCACACTTCCACACACCTCTTACCAGTACCCTCACTTCCACACATCTCTGACCAGTACCCACACTTCCACACACCTCTGACCAGTACCCACACTTCCACACACCTCTGACCAGCACCCACACTTCCACACACCTCTGACCAGTAACTTCACTTCCACACACTTCTGACCAGCACCCACACTTCACTACACCTCTGACCAGTACCCACACTTCCACACACCTCTCTACAGCGCCCACACTTCCACACACCTCTGACCAGTACCCACACTTCCACACACCTCTGACATGTACCCACACTTCCAAATACCTTTGACCATTACCCACACTTCCACACACCTCTGACCAGTACCCTCACTTTCAAATACATCTGACCAGTACCCGAACTTCCACACACCTCTGACCAGCACCCTCACTTCCACATACCCCTGACCAGTACCCACACTTCCACACACCTCTGACCAGTACCTTCACTTCCACACACTTCTTACCAGCACCCACACTTCACTACACCTCTGACCAGTACCCACACTTCCACACACCTCTGACCAGCACCCACACTTCCACACACCTCTGACCAGGACCCACACTTCCACACACCTCTGACCAGTACACACACACAATAGTATTAAACTGTTTTTTTTATCAAGTACTCTTAATAAACCTGATCTGACATGTTTCAGCTTACATTGATGATGGCAGCATGTTGCAGTCAGCTGTGTCTCTTACTGCACAGGTAACAGTTTCGTAATCAGTACCGGGGATGTACAGTGTATCATGCATAATCAGTACCGGGGACATACAGTGTGTCATGCCTAATCAGTAGTAGGGACGTAAAGTGTATCATGCATATTCAGTAGTTGGGACGTACAATGTACCATGCCTAATCAGTAGTAGGGATGTAAAGTGTATCATGCATATTCAGTAGTTGGGACGTACAGTGTACCATGCCTAATCAGTAGTAGGGACGTAAAGTGTGTCATGCATAATCAGTAGTAGGGATGTACAGTGTATCATGCATAATCAGTACCGGGGACATACAGTGTGTCATGCCTAATCAGTAGTAGGGACGTAAAGTGTATCATGCATATTCAGTAGTTGGGACGTACAGTGTACCATGCCTAATCAGTAGTAGGGACGTAAAGTGTGTCATGCATAATCAGTAGTAGGGATGTACAGTGTATCATGCATCTTCAGTAGTTGGGACGTACAGTGTACCATGCCTAATCAGTAGTAGAGACGTAAAGTGTACCATGCATAATCAGTAGTAGGGACGTAAAGTGTATCATGCATGATCAGTAGTAGGGACGTAAAGTGTATCATGCATATTCAGTAGTTGGGACGTTCAGTGTACCATGCATGATCAGTAGTAGGGATGTACAATGTACCATGCCTAATCAGTAGTAGGGACGTAAAGTGTATCATGCATAATCAGTAGTAGGGACGTAAAGTGTATCATGCATATTCAGTAGTTGGGACGTACAGTGTACCATGCATAATCAGTAGTAGGGACGTAAAGTGTATCATGCATAATCAGTAGTAGGGATGTAAAGTGTACCATGCATAATCAGTAGTAGGGACGTAAAGTGGACCATGCATAATCAGTAGCAGGGACGTAAAGTGTATCATGCATAATCAGTAGTAGGGATGTACAGTGTATCATGCATGATCAGTAGTAGGGATGTAAAGTGTATCATGCATAAGCTATGATCCATACTTTCATCCATCACAAAAATCCCAACTGTGTTCCATCACTATGGCCTCTACTGTGTTCCATCACTATGGCCCCAACTGTGTTCCATCACTATGGCCTCTACTGTGTTCCATCACTATGGCCCCAACTGTGTTCCATCACTATGGCCTCTACTGTGCTCCATCACTATGGCCTCTACTGTTTTCCTTCACTATGGCCCCAACTGTCTTCCATCACTATGATCCATACAGTCTTCCATCACTGGGGACATGGGCGGCCCAGTTGTCTAAGGCGCCACAATACGCTGTGCAGAGTTGCGTCCCTTGGGCACACCAGAAACCTATAATTGTGGGTTCGAATCCCGGTTCGTCCTAATTAAGTGTCTAGGTTTGTCCGGACACCATACCTGTGCTCATTGATTTCACCGAAGTGGTAAACGTCTTAGACCCACATCACTTTGGTCTTTCCTCCCACATTAAGCTGACATGCCGCGATATAACTGGAATACTGTTAAAAGCAGCGTTAAACCAACTCACTCACTCACTCTCCTATCACTTTGAGTGTGGCGTTAAACAACAAACAAAACAAACAAACAAACAATCACTATGACCCCAAGTATCTTCCATTACTATGACCCCTACTATCCTCCATCACTATCACCCCAACTATCTTCCATAAACACCACTATGACCCCAACTGTCTTCCATCACTATGGCCCCTACTGTCTTCCATCACTTTGGCCCCAACTGTCTTCCATCACTATGACCCCAACTGTCTTCCATCACTTTGGCCCCAACTGTCTTCCATCACTATGACCCCAACTATCTTCCATTTCTATGACCCCAACTGTCTTCCATCCCTATGACCCCAACTATCTTCCATTTCTATGACCCCAACTGTCTTCCATCACAATGACCCCCAACTATCTTCCATCACTTTGGCCCCAACTGTCTTCCATCACAATGACCACAACTATCTTCCATTTCTATGACCCAAACTGTCTTCCATCACTATGACCCCCAACTATCTTCCATTTCTATGACCCCAACTGTCTTCCATCACTATGACCCCAACTATCTTCAATTTCTATGACCCCAACTGTCTTCCATCACTATGGCCCCTACTGTCTTCCATTTCTATGACCCCAGCTATAATCCTCCATCACTATGACCCCAACTATCTTCCTTCAATTTGACCCCAACTATCTTCCATTTCTATGACCCCCAACTGTCTTCCATCACTATGGCCCCTACTGTCTTCCATCACTATGACCCCAGCTATCCTCCATCAGTATGACCGCAACTATCTTCCATTCCACCACTATGACCCCAACTGTCTTCAATCACTATGGCCCCTACTGTCTCCCATCACTATGACCCCAACTATCTTCCATCACTATGGCCCCAACTGACTTCCATCACTATGGCCCCAACTGTCTTCCATCACTATGACCCCAACTGTCTTCCATCAGTATGACCCCAACTATCTTCAATCACTTTGGCCCCAACTGTCTTCCATCACTATGACCCCAACTGTCTACCATCAGTATGACCCCAACTGACTTCCATCACTTTGGCCCCAACTGACTTCCATCACTTTGGCCCCAACTGACTTCCATCACTATGACCCCAACTGTCTTCCATCAGTATGACCCCAACTATCTTCAATCACTTTGGCCCCAACTGACTTCCATCACTATGACCCCAACTGTCTTCCATCACTTTGGCCCCTACTATCTCTATCACTTTGACCCCAACTGTCTTCAATCACTTTGGCCCCAACTGTCTTCCATCACTATGACCCCAGCTACCTTCCATTTCTATGACCCCAACTGTCTTCCATCACTATGACCCCAACTTTCTTCCATTCCACCACTATGACCCCAACTGTCTTCAATCACTATGGCCCCTACTGTCTTCCATCACTATGACCCCAACTATCTTCCATCACTATGGCCCCAACTGTCTTCCAGCACTTTGGCCCCAACTGACTTCCACCAGTATGATCCCAACTATCTCTATCACTTTGGCCCCAACTGTCTTCCATCACTATGACCCCAACTGTCTTCCATCAGTATGACCCCAACTGTCTTCCATCACTTTGGCCCCAACTGACTTCCATCACTTTGGCCCCAACTGACTTCCATCACTATGACCCCAACTGTCTTCCATCACTTTGGCCCCAACTGACTTCCATCAGTATGACCCCAACTGTCTTCCATCACTATGACCCCAACTGTCTTCCATCAGTATGACCCCAACTATCTTCAATCACTTTGGCCCCAACTGACTTCCATCACTATGACACCAACTATCTTCCATCACTTTGGCCCCTACTATCTCTATCACTATGGCCCCAACTGTCTTCCATCAGTATGACCCCAACTATCTTCCATTTCTATGACCCCAACTGTCTTCCATCACTATGACCCCAACTTTCTTCCATCACTTTGGCCCCAACTGTCTTCAATCACTATGGCCCCCAACTGTCTTCCATCACTATGGCCCCAACTATCTTTCATCACTATGACCCCAACTATCTTCCATCACTTTGGTCCCAACTATCTTCCATCACTATGACCCCAACTGTCTTCCATCACTATGACCCCAACTATCTTCCATCAGTATGACCCCAACTATCTTCAATCACTTTGGCCCCAACTGTCTTCCATCACTATGACCCCAACTGTCTTCCATCAGTATGACCCAAACTATTTTTAATCACTTTGGCCCCAACTGACTTCCATCACTATGACCCCAACTATCTTCCATCACTTTGGCCCCTACTATCTCTATCACTTTGGCCCCTTCTATCCCTATCACTTTGGCCCGAACTGTCTTCAATCACTTTGGCCCCAACTGTCTTCCATCACTTTGGCCCCAACTATCTTCCATCACTTTGGCCCCTACTATCTCTATCACTTTGACCCCAACTATCTTCAATCACTATGGCCCGAACTGTCTTCAATCACTATGGCCCCAACTGTCTTCCATCAGTATGACCCCAACTATCTTCCATTTCTATGACCCCAACTGTCTTCCATCACTATGACCCCAACTGTCTTCCATCACTTTGGCCCCAACTGTCTTCAATCACTATGGCCCCAACTTTCTTCCATCAGTATGACCCCAACTGTCTTCCATCACTTTGGCCCCAACTATCTTCCATCACTTTGGCCCCTACTATCTCTATCACTTTGACCCCAACTATCTTCAATCACTATGGCCCCAACTGTCTTCAATCACTATGGCCCCAACTGTCTTCCATCAGTATGACCCCAACTATCTTCCATTTCTATGACCCCAACTGTCTTCCATCACTATGACCCCAACTGTCTTCCATCACTTTAGCCCCAACTGTCTTCAATCACTATGGCCCCAACTGTCTTCCATCAGTATGACCCCAACTATCTTCCATCACTATGACCCCAACTATCTTCCATCACTATGACCCCAACTGTCTTCCATCACTATGGCCCCTACTGTCTTCCATCTCTATGACCCCAACTGTCTTCCATCACTTTGGCCCCAACTGTCTTCAATCACTTTGGCCCCAACTGTCTTCCATCACTATGACCCCAACTGACTTCCATCACTTTGGCCCCAACTGACTTCCATCACTTTGGCCCCAACTGACTTCCATCACTTTGGCCCCAACTGACTTCCATCACTTTGGCCCCAACTGTCTTCAATCACTTTGGCCCCAACTGTCTTCCATCACTATGACCCCAACTGACTTCCATCACTTTGGCCCCAACTGACTTCCATCACTTTGGCCCCAACTGACTTCCATCACTATGACCCCAACTGTCTTCCATCAGTATGACCCCAACTATCTTCAATCACTTTGGCCCCAACTGACTTCCATCACTATGACCCCAACTATCTTCCATCACTTTGGCCCCTACTATCTCTATCACTTTGACCCCAACTGTCTTCAATCACTTTGGCCCCAACTGTCTTCCATCACTATGACCCCAACTATCTTCCATCACTATGACCCCAACTGTCTTCCATCACTTTGGCCCCAACTGACTTCCATCA